TATATATATATATATATATATATATATATATTTATATATATATATATATATATATATATATATATATATATATATATATATATATATATATATATATATATATATATATAGATATATATATATATATATATATATATATATATATATATATATATATATATATATATATATATATATATATATATATATATATATATATATATATATATATATATATATATATATATATATATATATATATATATATATATATATATATATATATATATATATATATATATATATATATATATATATATATATATATATATATATATATATATATATATATATATATATATATATATATATATATATATATATATATATATATATATATATATATATATATATATATATATATATATATATATATATATATATATATATATATATATATATATATATATATATATATATATATATATATATATATATATATATATATATATATATATATATATATATATATATATATATATATATATATATAGTAGTTTCACATAAAATTTTATTATTAGAAATAAAATCTAATAATCCTCCTCATTATTACTGTAATATAGATAATAATAGCGACTATAGATATATTTTTGTTATTATTACTATTCATCATCCTAATCACCCTACCTTTACATATATAATGCTTAAGTAGAAACTTATATATATATATATACACACACACACACACACACACACACGCGCATATAAACATTATGTATTTTTAAAAATCTACATTTTTCCGCAAATACAAAGAGCAATTTCTTTTCCCGCTAAATCATGCAGCCACATCAGAGATGGAAAGATATGTTATTAATTACAAAAGTAATGCTCTTATCTTCTTTAGCACGTTTAATTAAGAAACACTGATAGATAATTATGGCCATGTTATTATATAAATTTTTTAATTTTCATTTGTGCTCCAGTAAATTCTCTAGAAAGTTCAGTCTTCAAATTGAGGAGCCTGATGATGAAAAGACGAGCACTTGTAAGCATTTCTCAGTGTCTTACTTGAGGATCTCCTCTCTGCACTGCCTCTGTGTGGCGAAGCAGGCGATGGCCCACATCTTGATCTCCACGCCGGTGTGAAACTGCTTTCCTCTCATGTCCCAAACGCCGTGACTCGGTGTGGCGACAGTGCGGTTCTGAAACGACAGCTCACGGTTGATCTGCTGCACAGCACGAGCGTGAGCAAAAACACACCGCGCACACACATACACATACTCAATACTGCATGTGACTGGAACACATCAATGAGCCCAGACACATCACTACTGTACACTACCCGACATAAGTCTTGTCGTCAATCCCAGTTGTAAGAGCAACAAATAATAACTTGACTTCTCGTGGATCATTTGTTAAAGTGGCAGAAGGTCGATTTTTCTGTTGAATCATCTGCTGAACTGCATCCCAATCATCACAAATACTGCAGAAGACCTACTGGAACCTGCATGGCCCTAAGATTCTCATAGAAATCAGTCAAGTTTGGTGAAAGAAAAATCATGGTTTGGGGTTACATTCAGTATGGGGGCGTGCGAAAGATCTGCAGAGTGGATGGCCATATCAACAGCCTGAAGCCTGGTTTATACTTCTGCGTCAAGTGATTGGCGTGACCCACGGCGCATGCAACGCGCGTAGCTGTGCATTTATACTTCAGCGCGCTGTCTCTGTTGGTCTGAATTAACACTTCCGAAACGCTAGTTGGCAGTGAGGGGTTAATGTTCCTCTGTGTAGAGTTTCTTCGCTGGTGTTTTGTTTTTTCTGAACGCTTCCTAAAATGTACAAGTGGCTCAAACTCGCTCATTTTGAGGCAGGAAACGGCGGACGTGCAACAACTTTAACCATGAGGTAAACACAAAACAAAACTTTACATCTAGAGTTCTTTCACAGAACTCCACTGTTGTAAACAATCGCTCCATCGGGCTCACGTGGCTCTCGGCCCCGCCCAGACTCGTCAGTGCTACCAAGCCGACCAATCACAGAGCTTGCGGTACGCGTCGTTGCAACGTGTAGTTACTTTTTTTTTAGAGGTGCGCATCAGCCACGCCGATGGCCACGGCATAGGGCTATGCGTCAATGTGTAGGCTGCGCCGTAGCATACACATTCGCTTGACGCAGATGTATAAATCAGCCTAGAGGTATCAAGACATTTGTGCTGCCCATTACATTACAAACCACAGGAGAGGGCAAATTCTCCAGCAGGATAGCGCTCCTCCTCATACTTCAGCCTCCACATTAAAGCTCCTGAAAGCAAAAAAGGTCAAGGGGCTTCAGGATTGGCCAGGCCAATAACCAGACATGAACATTATTGAGCATGTCTGGGGTAAGATGCAGGAGGAGGCATTGAAGATGAATCCAAAGAATCCTGATGAACTCTGGGAGTCCTGCAGGAACGCTTTCTTTGCCATTCCAGATGACTTTATTAATCAGTGATTTGAGTCATGTCAGAGATGTATGGATGCAGTCCTCCAAGCTCATGATGGAGTCAGACACAATATTCATTCTGTTTCCACTGCAGCATGACTTTATATTCAATACTGGACATTATTTCTGTTCAGTGACGAGACTTTTGTCTAAGCAGAGTCGGACCTTACTGTCCTAATGAAATCATTGATAATCAAGGCATGATCATATTTTATTGTGGTAAAATAAGTGTAATCTAGAGGCCTTTGCCTTATATATAAGCCACTTCTGATACCAAATGATCAAGTCAAGTTATTATTTGTTGTTACTAAAACTTGGTCAGACGACAAGTCTTTTGTCAGGTGCTGCTCATTTCACAAAACAAGTCTGTATAAAGAAAGATTTTAAAAAGTGCCAATTATAACATAAAATAATCATAATGATAAACTAACAAGATGACATGTATTAAGCACAAGATAAAGTTATACTGTTTGAAAATCAAATATACTGTGCAATAGATACATTTACACACATTACACATGCATGCATAAAATGTAACATTTACTTCTATAAACGCATGCACAGATGAAGACAAAATTATTAGCCATCCTGTGAAATCTGTATTCTTTTGAAAATATTTGCCAAGTGCTGTTTAACAGAGAAATCAATTATTAAACTGTGTAGTTTAAAACATCTTCTAATAACTAATTTAATTAGTCTTTGCCATGATGACAATATTCTACTTGTTATATTGGAACAAGTTTGCAAGTTAACAAGGCAAGTTTTGGTATTTGGGCAAGTCATTAGACAACAGTTGTTTGTAGTGTAGCCAATTGAAAAATAAATTCTTAAGGCGGCTAATAGTATTGATGCAACACGGTGGCACAGTGGTTGGCACTATTGCCTCACAGCAAGAAGGTCGCTGGTTTAAGTCCTGGCTGGGTCAGTTGGCATTTCTGTGTGGAGTTTGCATTTTCTCCCTGTGCTGGCGTGGGTTTCCTCCGGGTGCTCCAGTTTTCCCCTTAGTCCAAACACATGCACTATAGGTGAATAGAATAAACTAAATTGGCTGTAGTATATGAGTGTATGTTTGAATGTAAGTGTGTATGGGTATTTCCCAGTACTGGGTTGCAGCTGGAAAGGCAACCATTGTGTTAAACATATGCTGGAATAGTTGGTGGTTCATTCCACTGTGACGACCCCTAATAAATAAGGGACTAAGCCAAAGGAAAATGAATGCATGAATAATAATATTGACATCAGCAAGTCTAATTAGCAGTTTAAATAATAATGATTGTTTTGTTCCAGCCAAACTAGAAGAAGCAAGACTTTCTCTTGAGAACCAATCATAATATGAAGATCTGTGGATCTTTTTTACATGCTTTGTTAAACAGCACTTGGGTTGAAACAAATTTACAAGAAATAAAATAAAAAATATTAATTTATTTCTAACGTTTTACAGGAGGCCAATAATTCTGCCTTTAACTGTACAGGCTTTGCTTTTATTGACAGTTTGAAATGGTTGCAGTTTTTAATATGTTCTGTTTTTAGTTTACTTTAACAAAAGCATCAAAGTTAATGAGGGCCTATCTTTGCTGGACAATATTTGTATGGAACTTTTAACAGCGCGCATACATAGAGCTCAATCAAAAACTGTTAAGTCCTGGAACTTAACTTTTGATAATGTCAAATCTTTTGTTTCTTGCTTCTAATGTACAGCTTGTCTGCTTATATGGTATTTATGCATCTCATGATGTAATAGTTACTTAGTTTGTACTTACCTAACTTCTACTCTGTATTTGGCTTTACATTATTTTATTTATTTGGGTTTGGGTTGTTTTATGGTATGGCCATATGATGTATGCTCTCTATATTAAACAAAAAATTATAATAATAAATACAATTGTTTACAAAAAAACAAAAGCATCAAAGTTTGTAAGTATTACCAAATATTATTATACAATTGTAAAACCACAAGTTGGAGAAAAAATATTTAAGCTATAAAATAGTAGCCCCTTTTACACAGTGATACCGGTAAATATCTGGAAAATTTCTGGAACGACTTTACCGGTAAATTCAAAAAAGTTCACACAGGCACGGAGGTTACGGAATTTTTCCGGAAAAGAACATTCACACATTCACTCTAAAATACCGCTAAATTCTGACATCATTATCCAGAAATGAGCTCTAAACAGCTGCGCTTGTATTTGTAAACATTTGACTACATTATAAACTCTGTGGATGGATCAGTACTGTGAATAACTTTAATGAAAACGTATGAAGGAACACTTTCACATGACGAGATGTTCATAATATGTGTGTGTGCGTGCGTGCGTGTGTGTGTGTGTGTGTGTGTGTGTGTGTGTGTGTGTGTGTGTGTGTGTGTGTGTGTGTGTGTGTGTGTGTGTGTGTGTGTGTGCTGGCGCTCACCGGCTGCTTCACGTGCAGCAGAGCTTGAAGGTAAACAAACAGCAGTCTATCGATAATTATTTCCACAGTCGGCATTAAGAAGGAACATAGAAACGTTATCTAACTAACAAGCAGCAGCTAAAAGTGTCTGGAAAAATATTCAAAGGATTTTATTTACATCTACAGCATGGATGTGAATTCATCTGAATGCTCTGATTGACTGGAGTAGACGTCTTCTAAGCATGAGCACGCTCTTTCCAGCAATCTTCCTTCTGCGTTCAGACAGCATCATTCCGGCAAAATACCGGTAATGTTACAGGTTCTCTTTCCAGAAAATTGCTAGAACTAATTTACCGGTATTTGCAAAAAATCCTTTCCGGAAAATTGCTGGAACTAATTTAGCGGTATTTGCAAAAAATTCTTTCCGGAAAATTGCTAGCAAGTATATGTGAAAGCGGCCAATGAAACTGAACTAATTTTATTATCTGTATGATGTTGGGTGCAAATTAAATAGGGCTGAATGACTAATGCTACTATTATTACTTGTGGCGTTTGAGATTTGAACTGTAAAACTGGATGTGAGACTGTCTGGTTGAAATAAAAGATTCAATTGATCGTAAAACAGCATTGTTTTACTTTATGGCACAGGTGTTAAATCCAGTTCCTTTAGGGCTGCAGTGCTGCAAAGGTTAGCTCTGACCCTAAGTAAACACACCTGATCATACTAATTGAGTCCATCAGGCTTGTTTGAAACTTACAGGTAAAGCTGCAGTCACACTGGACTTTTCTCCCCAGACTTCCATTCACACATACGTGAATGCGTCAAACTGGAAACGCAAGGTCGTGCGTCAAATTTCGCAGTTCACTGCGTTGTAAATTTCAAGCTTGGTGAACTCTGATCTGTGTTAGCCCAATCGAGGATCAAAACATGACCTCTCTGGACATAAATTTAAAATATGGACCAATCGCTCGGTTTTAAATGTCTAATCATCTTGTTTAACCCCACACCTTCTCGTAAATTTTGCTCAAACTCTAGTGTGACCGCAGCTTAAGTGTGTTGAAGCAGGGCTGGAACTAAACTGTGCAGAGCTGCGGCCCTCCAGTTTGACACCTGTGCTTGATGGTATAGTTCACCTAAAAGGAAAAGTACCTCATTATTTACTCACTCAAGTGGTTCTAAACTATATATTTAATTATTTTGTTGAACACAAAACAAGAGAAATCTTGAAGAATGATGGAGCTGGCATCCATAGTAGAAATAAAAATACTATGGAAGCGAATGAATGTTTGTCCCAACATTCTTCAAAATATGTTCCTTTGTGTTCAACTAACGAAAAACACTCAAGCAGGTTTGGAACAAGCAAAGGCCGAGTAAATGACTTTCATTATTGGGTGAACTATTCCTTTCAGTATTCAATTAAAGATTAGACTTATCAGTTTATTTATATATATATATATATATATATATATATATATATATATATATATATATATATATATACACATATATATATATATATATATATATATATACATATGTATATATATATATATATATTAATATAAAGTAC